TCGAGCTTGTCTCGGTCAGCTTTCTTGAGGCAGAGCGTCTCGATGCCGTAGATCAATTTGCTTATGATGTACGCCTCGAACAACGTAAGCTTCCGTGATCGTCGGATGTTGGTATGCCGCCATTCTAGTTTGAGGATGTGGAACGCAGCCCTCGCCTCTCCGATCCTCCTTGCCACGGCTGTGCCAGTGCCGCCATCTGCGCACAAGAGACCCACGAGGTAGACTGCAGAAGTCACAGGCTTCACTGGGACTCCGTCCGGAGCGAAGATGTCCGAAGCATGCCTGACTCGCAGATGGACGGTCTTCGCCCAATTTGGTTCTAGTCCGTACGCGTGGGCCCTCATAATGAGACGGTTCAGAAAATGCTGCGCTCTTGGTATATCATCTGAAATGAGCGCCGCATCGTCGGCAAAAGTAACATCGAAACACATTTATCCGAAGGAGTTGGGCCGAGCTCGTTCACCAAGTCGGCCTGTACATCTGTCATGATAGCTGACAGCATAATGATGAAGAGGTAAGGGCTTAGTGGGCAACCCTGGACGATGCCCGCGCCTATTGGGCGAGTTCCGGAGGAGCCATGGCTATCTGTCATTCATGTCGAACGTGCGGTTGGTACAAATGTTCTTGATCATGTCGCAGTAGGCTCGCGGGATGCCAAACCAGGCAAGAGCAATTTGGAGGGCTGCTGGGTCGATTCTGTCAAACGCCTTCGACCAATCTAGGAGTATGGCTGATAGTTGCCCGTCTTCGGACGCCCAGGTCCGTTCGATCGCTCTTTGAACTAAGAAGATCGCATCAGTGGAACGCCTCTGCTTCCGGAAACCGAATTGCGCGTCCCTCAGCTTCTTCTCCACCCCTCCAGTGGACATTATGTTCAGGATGAGGCTCGCCACGACCTTGTAGCTGACGGACAGGAGAGAGATTGGCCGGTAGTTCTGTGTCAAGGACTCGTCGCCTTTCTTGAAAATGGCCGTCACTGCGCAATGTTTCCAGGATTGTGGAATTGACCGGCATTCCCAACACTTATTGCAGAGGTCAAGAAGGCACTGACACGCCTGCTCGCTGTGGCCCAGCGCCTTCCAGAAGTCAGGAGGAACTCCATCTGGACCCGCCGCCTAGCCCGCTTTCAGCTTTGACAGGACCGCGGACAGTTCCAGCATGGAGAACTTGTCTTGGTTCAGGGCGATTGTCTCGTTCAGCTGGGCCCCTTGCGGAAGCAGACGGTCGCCGAGAGGCATTGCCCGTTGCACCTTCTCGAAATGTTTCTGCCCTTCTGTCGCTGTCGACCAGACGGCCGCTTTCGTCTCGGACGCGGCCTTGGGATCTGTGACCTTTGCTCCAGAAGCGCTTCAGACTCCCCCAATCACCTCTGGCGAGCATTTGATCTAGCCACTCCCTTCTGTCGACCTTCGCGGATGCTTTCACTTGTTTCGAAAGATGTTTCTCCAGCATGGCTTGGCTGGCAGCCCGGGCGCGGTTGCGCAACCGATCAAATCTAGCGTTTGACTCTGTATCCATGGCCGGTTGGGGCGCGCAGCTGTGCGCAGTAGACTCGCGCCAGCGGCCTCGTGCATGGACTGCTCGATGAGCGTCGCCATGCCCTCGGGGGTGTCACCGCTTTCAGTCTGGCCTGGTTGGGCGCCACCTGCGCGGGACAAGAACTCCACGGCAAATTGGGATGCCACGCTCGGCAGTTGCAAAGACGAGCGGTCCAAAGATATCTTGTTCGCTTTCGGTGGCGTCTTGGGTATATGAATATCCAGCACAACTGTAACCATGAAGTGGTGTGAAGAGAATCCGATGCTTCTGTCTGAAGCAATTGACCACACTGACCCTTGCCAATCCTGTCGGACTAGAACGTGGTCGATTCCAGCAAACTTGCGCGGCGTAAGCTCTGAGAAGGCAGTTGCACCAATATTAAAATATGTCACCCGCTGCTCTACAGGTGTGTCAAGGAAAGTATTTGCAATCATGAGGCCCTGTGAAGTGCAGTGATCTATTAACATATGCCGGTTGCTCAGCGGCCCCGGGCAGGCGCCGCGGTCGCCCCAGGCGAACGGCCCCACGACCTCCAAGTCGCAGAAGTCTGGATTGCCAAATCGTGCATTGAAATCCCCCATCGTAAAGACTGGCCCATGCGCCTTCGTTTGTTCTGTCAACAAAGACAAATGACCATAGAATGCGTGGCGGACTTCGAAATCAAGGCCCGACTGCGGAGCATACGCACAAATGAACGACACCGACCCTCCAGGAGCCCTGATTCGTAAGCTGGCCAATCGATTGCTGTATTGTATGAAACTCATAGCTGCGTGCCGCGCCCACGGCGCCACAACGAAGCCCACCCCATCATACTCCCGTGCATCTTCGGGGCCGCCTGAAAGTATCATCAGGTAGCCCTCGTACATGAAAAACGGCGGTGCGCTGATGTGTGTCTCTTGCAATGCGACTATCGCGAGCTCCCGTTCCCGCATGATGGCCGTGATCTGGTGGAGTTTCGTGCAGTCAGCGTCTGGATTCCTTCCACATTCCAAGTGGCTGCCTTAGTTATGTTCACTGGGCGTCGGCCTCTTCGGTCTCTGAAGTGTCTTGGCCTCCCGCCTTGCATCACAAAGTCAGGTGGTCTACGAACATATAAATGATCATGTTGAGGATCATGAGGAAGGTGATGTGGAGGAAGAAGTAAAGGCAGGCTGGCAGTCTGGCAACGCCGTGGTCTGCTGGAGCATCGGGAACTGGCCGCAAATACCGTGAATGCCAAAAATAAGTATGAGGTGAAACCGATGGTGAAACGCCTGGCCCGCGTAAGCGTGATAGAGCTTCGTCTCTCCAGCTCTCACGGCCAACAGCGGGGCCAGTACTCAATATGCCGATGTGCCGTAACCCCTATTCGCGTCGAGCCGCGGATTTGTCCTTGCCTTTTCCTGCTCCTTCCGACCCCCCGTTTGCCCCGCGCTGGAGCCTGGCGGTCTGGGTGCCAAGGAATTCTTTCCATTCCAGATAGTCTGCCAAGTACTGCTCCCACTCCGGCCCGTACTCGACCTTGAGCGCCCCGCTTTCCACGTTGACCTGGAAGACCTGCCCCTCGCCGAGATAGAATGATCTGGTGTCGGGGTCTGCCCAAAGCACGCTCTTCGCGAACCCCCAATTCAGGAACAGGGATTTTGTTCCGAACACTGTCGACCGAGCGACGCGTGCTTCAACAGGTAGATCTTGTGCTGCCCACACTGGCTTGTCCAATACCAGCTTGGCAGCGCGGAACTTCGACTCCGCTGTGTCCCGGTCCGCCGCCGATAGAAACTTGGCAAGCATTAGGTTGGCAAATTCCCCCTTTGAATAGAAGTCGAGCGGGCTGGGAGCCCCGGCGTACCACAGCTGGTCCCAGAGCCACTTCTCCGCTTCTGCTCTACTTCCAAGCGAATTCAAGTTTCCGAATACGGCCGCATGCTGGGACGAGGGGCCGCGGTCGGAAGTGAGAGAGCACAACTCTGCTTCCAACTTGCTCAGACGGTCTGCCATGCTTCCCGCCGGTCCCGATCCTGAAAGGGACTAGGTTCGTGAAGCATTATGCGACTGCTTCGTCTGAGCCTGTAATCTGTCCAGACGACCCCTGAGCAGAGCGGAATCGTGTTCGACTGCCTTGAATTGCTCGGTGCACTGCTGTTTCAGTGCGTTCACCTCGTGGTTCACGCTCGCGACCTGCTCCAGGAAGGGCTGCAGCTTCTGGTCCATCAGGCCAGCGATCGCTACCAATGTGACTTGACCTTGTTGTTGTTGTTGTTGTTGTTGTTGTTGCTGTTGTTGTGGAGGCACCTCTGCTTGCACATGTGCTCCCGGCGGCGTCGTAGGAGTTGCAATCACGTGCACCTCCGGTCGGGGAGGGGAGAGGTCGAGACCGTCCATCTCGTGAAGTGGGCTGAATAAGCATTGGCGGACGTCGCGCCCAAGTACTCCTCGCACTGGAGTCCCTGATGCTCACGTACCGGCCATCGCGAGGTATGGGAAAGGAAAAGGGAAGAGTAGCGTGGTGGTATAATGAAAAGGAGAGATACCTTTATCGTAAGAGGAGCGTGATGTAGAAACAAAACCTGCGGGCTCAGACATCTTCCACTATTTGCTCGGTGGCAGGCGCTTTCCGGCCGTACCGCCTGTGTAACGAGATTGTAATGGACTCGGGCTAGTGCCGCCGATTCGGGGGGCTCCGGATTCGGTGATCTTGGAGTCGTAGGGGACGCTGTTTGAGAGGGAGGGCGCTCTTGGAGTCGGGCACGCTTTTTGGAGCTGACGTGCCCTCTGGGGGGGGTGCCTGGAGTGGTCCCAGGGGGGGTCCGGGGAGGGTTCCGAGGGGAGGGTCCTGGGGGCCGTACCGCCTGTTTGTTCCACGTGTTCGGCTCGGACGGGCGCCTCCAGAGGGGACGCGCAGTTCTGCGAGGATGCCAGTCTTCTTTCCCCAAGTCCGCGTCCTCCCTCTCGAAGCTCGAAGCTGCGGACAGGTTAGCGCGGGCGCACCGATGCCCTCGAGCGCCTCCCACCCGGAAGCGCCTGGGGGAGAGTCAGGAACAAAAACAAGAGGTAAAGAGGGATTTGATTGACGACCGAACTGCGGACGACCGAGCGGCGCGTGGGACCGAGGAGTATGCTGGGTTGTGCGCGCGACGGCCGCCAGACTGGCGAGGCGAAGGCAGGCGCCCGTCCCCAAGAGGGTTGCGCACCACAGGGAGTCGCGGGGATGTGTCGAGTATGGGCCTGGGGCTTCGGCGCCGCAGGTGGGGCATTTGCGCTTCTCCCCAGGTGGGGTTCCCGTATGGGCATCGGGCTCCACAAGACAGACCAAAACAGGTCTCCCCGTCCTCCTCCATTCATCTTCGCCCCCCGCCATCCTCTCCACCTTCATCATTTTCCGTCGTCGACGACGACGGTGACTGGTGGTGAGGGCGGCGGCGACGACGACGACGATGACGACGATGATCGAGCAGCCGCAGCTCGCGGCGCGACCCCCCTCGCGAGGAGCCCCCCAGCCTAGGCACCGGCAAGGGCAAGCTCGCCGCGCCGCCGGGCCGCGCCGGCCGCCCACAGAGGCGCCGATCCGTGCCCGCCGGCCGCGGAGGGTACGAGAAGCAGTGGGCTCAGAAGCATCGTAGCCTCTGGTATCTTCACGAACTCCGGACTTTGATGGGGCTCGAAGAAGAACGATCTCGGCGAGTGCGTCGTGCTTTCACCCTGGAGCAACATTCCGAACACTTTTGTCCCCAGCTGCATGCTTCAAGCCACAATGTGAGCAGAACCAAGACTCGAAACGATGCCATGGCGCCGACATTTTGCTGTGATGTGCTGCGAGGGCGTCCCGCGCAGCTGCGATGCGGACTAACGTACGCGCTTGGCTGCGGCGCTTCCCGGGCGCGCCGATGCTTGCAAGCGTTCTTGGCGATCCATATCTGCGCGGCTGCACCAGGCGAGCCTGCGACGACAGGCGCGGCACGGCCGACCCACTATCGCTGGGCAGCGGGTCGGCGCGTATGGCTGCTGTCCCGAGAGGCCCGCCGCTACCTCAGCGACGCCAAACAACGGATGCATCTTCGCCGACACTGGCGCGCAAGCTGCCCGCGTAACGTCGTGCGTAAGCACCCTCGTCTCCAAAGTAGCGTTCCGCGCTGGCGGCCCGCGTAAGCCACCGCGTGAGGTCGCTACGTCACCTCGCGTCAGACCCCTTTTTGATCGTCGCTCACCTGGGAACGGCACCCAAGACCTCGAACCGGGACGGCGGCTTAAGAGGGAGGAAGGAGGAGGAGGGAGGAGCGAGGAGGAGGGATTGAGGCAGGAGGGAGGAGGAGGGATGGAGGAGGCAGGGCGGAGGAAGAGAGGAGGGAGGAGGGAGGGAGGGATGAAGAGGAAGGAGGAGGGAGGGAGGAGGCATGAGGGAGGAGGAGGGATCAGAGCAGGAGGAGGCGGGGAATCTTTTGGGTCGGAGGGGCGCGCGGGCCGAGCGCCGACGCCATTCCCCACGCGAGCACTTTTGTGCGATGTGTGCCTCGAGATCAATCGGCGGCGAGCGATTGGGGGGGTCCAGAAGGAGAAGGCCCTCTCAGAAGGCGGCGGGGCTTCTCAGAAGCCCTCGCGTCTTGTCTGGGGGTGCCGGGACGTGGTGTGCGCGGATGGGCGGCGTTGGTGCGTTTCGTGCAATTGTTGGGTGGAACAGAGTCTCTTCGGGTGGGGGTGCCAGGACGTGGTGGGGGCGCGGGGGGGGGGTGGTGGGTTTCGGGCAGGAGCGTGTCGGGCGGGGGGTCCCCAAACACAGAGTCTTTCAGGGTGGGGGTGCCGGGAGCGTTGGTGGGTTTCGGGCGAGAAAGTGTCGCGGGGGGGGTCCCCAAACACAGGGTCTTTTAGGGTGGGGGTGCCAGGACGTGGTGGGGGCGCCAGGGGGGGGGGGCGTTAGTGGGTTTCGGGCGAGAAAGTGTCGGGTGGGGGGGTCCCAAGAATTGAGCTCTCGTGGTGTGGGGGGGCCAGGACGTGGTAGGGGCGCGGGGGGGTGCGTTGGTGTGTTTCGGATGAGAAAGTGTTGGGTGGGGGGTCCCCCCAAACCAGAAGTCTCGTGAGGAGGGGGTGCCGGGACGTGGTGTGTGCTTGGGTTTCGGGCGATAAATTTTCGGGTAGGGGGTCCCCCAAAGCAGAGGTCTTTTGAGGTGGACGTGCCGGGACGTGTGGGTTTGGGTTTCTGGCGAGAAAGTGTCGGATGAGGGGTCTCAAGAGCTGCCGTCTTTTGGAATGGGTGTGTTTGGGCGGCGTTGATGGGTTTTGAGTGGAGGCGTGGGTGTGTGGGGGGGCCCTGAGCTCCGCAGTTGCGGCCCAGAGGCGCCCACGTCGTCAACAAAAACTATGGCGCGCGGTTTGGGGCCGTGTTCGGCTTCTGGGGGCCCTCGCCGGCCCTCGCGGGACTGTCAGACAATGACTCGCGACGAAAATTGGCCCTGGGGAATGGGTCGAGTCTTCAGGGAACCCCGTATGGAACCAATTGAGACATCGCATGTCTGGGGAAGAGGGCAGGGTCGCGAAAAGTCACGATCCGAGCCCTAGACTTCATCTGTGATCCGAGCCGCGTCGATCTGTGAGGGGCCCGTGGGCCTCAAACCAAACTGGGTGAGGACTCGTCTGGCGTGAAAAAACTACTGCGCCTGGACCTCAGGGTGCGAGGGTCAGTGTCGGTTAACCGATCCCGATCCTCATCTCCATCTCCATTCCGATCCCCACCATTCCACCACCCCAGTTGGGGATATGCCCCTCGAAACTCGAAGGGATCAGCCCATATCCCCATCTGTAGAACTCTAGTGGGGCCCAGGCCACACCAGCGGGGATACTGATCGATTGAACGATGCTCAAAGGGGGGGGCGGGGCCGCAGCCGCGCCGCCAATGAAAGCACCTTCCAGATCTTTCCTAACCTGCCATGTGGCCCAATGACCCTTCGGCCGACCCGCTCGAGAGGGGGACCAGGGGACGTCTTGAATGAATGAAGGCCTCCAAAATGGGGTTTGAGTAGATGGGGTCGGAGGATCGCCGATGCATCGGCGATGCGGCGCGATCCTCCGACCACATCTGCTCCGACCCTGCTGAGGAGGCCTGAAGCGAAGGAGAAGCAGAGGGGGGCCCGAAATCCGGGGAGATTTCATGGCTCCACCGTGGGACCAACGATCTCCCCATCTCCCTCCCTGGATCCCTCCCTGACTGTCTAATTGCCGCACCACCCTAACCCAACCCGAAGTCCCAACTGTTGGGCTGTGGGGCGTACGGGGTCCATCTGTGTGCCGGAGGATCGCGCCGCCTCGCCGAGCAGATGGGGTCGGAGGATGGGACAGCAGCCGCGCGCCGCCCACCCGCTCGAGAGGGGGGACCAGTGGACGTGCTGAAAGAACGGAGGCCTCCCGGATGGGGTCCGAGCAGATGGGGTCGGAGGATCGCGCCGCCTCGCCGAGTAGCGTTAGATGGGGTCGGAGGACGGGGCAGCAGCGTCCCAGGACGCTCTCAGAGCCTTCCGGGAACGCCCTGAAACAGCCGCGCGGCGCCCGACACGTCTTCCAAACCCGCCTGTTCTCAGAGATTCGCGATTTATGTCGGTCCGACTCTGTCTCGAGAAGGTCGCGGCACCCGAGGCATCTTCCAGAGCTGCCGGGTTTCAGAGACTTCCGATGTACATCGGCCCGATTTTGTGCCTCCGTTATGCCTTCATCTTGAGCAACCGCGCGCCGCCCGCCCGCCCCGAGCTCAAGATGAAACACAGCTGCCCGAGCTCAAACCATTTTCTTCCACCGGAAATGAGCGAGTGGAGCGTCAGTGATGTGGATGGGCCTATTTTGTTGACCCAAAGGGGGATCCAGCGACAAGGGGGTGGTGCAATAGATTTGCTGCCATAGATCTGTGGGGTTGCAATAGATTTGGGACGTGCAGTACATTCTTGTGCGCAAATGTATTGCTGGGCTCTCGCGTGCAATACATTCGTTGCTCGCGTGCAGTACAATGCAGTACAAATTTCTGGCGCCGCGCGCCGCCCGCCCGCTCTAAGCCCGCCGATTCTCAGAAATGTCGAGTTATGTCGGTTTTATTTTGCTTCGATCCCAGACATCCAGCTGTTCCAATGTTTTAGATACGTGGGCCCCAGAGGTCTGGACCACATCCCATAGGGCCGGTTTTGCGCCCCGAGTCGTTTTTTGGGCCGGAGGCCCAGCGAGGGCCCCCGAAGACTGAAAATTGCAAAAGCCTGCCGCTCCAATTTTTTGGAGCGTCGGATCGCTGGGAGTCTCGCGCCTTGCGAAGGCCTTACGGCTGGTGCCGCCGACCCTGAAGGGGGACGACGACGACAGCGGCGGCGGCGGCGGCGACAACGGCGACGCTGGCGTCTCTTCGGAAGGCTCTCGGGGGCCTCTGGGGAGTTATCCTGGGGCCTCTCGGAAGCCTCCTGGGGGCCTCTTGGGAGACACTTGGGGCCTCTTCGGGCTTCTTGGGGACCTTTTGGCGGCCTCTTGGGGCCTTTTGGCAACTTCTTGGCAACCTCTTGGAGCAGTCTTCGCGCCGCCCGCCCGCCCCGCAGCGCGGTGCCGCGGCCGGGCAGCGGCGGGGCCCCTGGCGGCTGGGCTCCCGGGCAGCGCACCGCCGGCCTGGACATCGCGGAGGCGCTGGGCGGGCAGCGCGCGGCGTGCGCCTCGGGCAGATGCGGGCCAGCCTCGGGGGGGCTCGGCATCGCGTGGTCCCGCGGGTGCCCCGCGCGGAACGTGTCCGTGCGACCTCGTATCCGCGGGATCGCGACCCGCAAGACAGACTGCGAGGGCGCCGGTACGGATAAAGGCTATGTGCGCGGCTCGTGAGTCGTCGGCGTCGTCGTCGTCGTCGGCATCGCATTCTCGCCGCCGTTGTCGTCGGCGGCGGCGGCATCTGCGTCGGCGTCGGCGTTGGCGTCGGCGTCGGCGTCGGCGGCGGTGTCGGCGTCGGCGGCGGCGGTGGCTTCGTCCTCGTCCTCGTCCTCGTCGCCCGGCCCTCGCAATGCGAAAAAATCGCGATGGGAAGTTTTTCTATATTTTTGGCCCCTGGAGGCCCTTGCTGGGCTGGGCCTCGGGACTCGGGACCGTCAAACAACGACTCGGGACGATAAACCGGTTCTGGGGAAGGTTCCAGACCTTTTTGGGTTCGACGGGGGCGGGGGGCTTAGCATCGCTCGGACGCGTGCGTTTTTTTTAGGGGGGACCTTTCGCATTGGACTCAACTGCGCCCGAAGCATACAACAACGCCGATCTTGAGGACGAACACGCGCCTTATTGTGTTTGAAGCACATCTGCGCCTCAGTGCCCATTCCGCAAGCTTTCCCTCGTGCTCCTCTTTTTGGGCCTCCCGAGAGGCCCTCGTCGCCACGGCTAAATACTCCTCGAGGTCCTGGTCAGAACGCGCCCTCACGGAGGGGCTTGGCATCGCTCAGACGTGTGCATTTTAGTTGTGTGGGGGGGTCCGGGGCAACGATAGGGGGGGATGGGCGATGGGAGGGATACATCGACCCCCTAACGCCCATTGATCGCCGGTAGAGACCCACTAGCCCCACCCAGCGCAGGAAGCTGAGGATTTGCGATCGGGGACTCTATCTATCTATCTATAGATATACATGTGTGTATGCATGTATGTATGTGTATGTATGTGTATGTATGTGTATGTATGTGTATGTATGTGTATGTATGTGTATGTATGTGCGTGTATGTGTACGTATGTGTATGTATGTGTATGTCTGTGTATGTCTGTGTATGTCTGTGTATGTCTGTGTATGTCTGTGTATGTCTGTGTATGTCTGTGAATGTCTGTGTATGTATGTGTATGTATGTGTATGTATGTGCATGTATGTATGTATGTAGGTAGGTAGGTAGGTAGGTATGTATGTATGTATGTATGTATGTATGGATGTATGTATACATGTATGTGTACATATATATACATATATTATATTTCATTATATATTATTATATTATATTATATTATACATCATATTATATTATAGTTTATTATGTTATATCATATCATATTATATTATATTATATTATACATTTCATATATAATATCATATTGTATTATGTTATATCATATCATATTATATTATATCATTTTATATCTTATTTCATTAGATTATATTATATTATAGAATATTATATTATATTAAACTATATTATATTGTGTTATATTATATTATATTCTATCATATTATATTATATTATAGTATATTATATTATATTATATTATATCATATCATATTATATTATATTATATTATATTATATTATATTGTATTATATTGTATTATTTTATATCATATCATATTATATGTATTATATGTATATATATACACCGGGGAACGGGACCTGGGGCCGCCAGATTGGAGCCTCGGACCCCCATGGGGGCCACGGGGGAGGCCTGGAGCCTCCCTGGAGCAGCCAAGGCGGCCCAAGAGTGCAGCAATAGCGCTCCACGACAGGCCCAGCAGGCTCCAAGAGGCCCAAGAGGGCGCCAAGAGGGCCCCAAGATGCCCAAGATAAGCCCAAGACGGCCAAAGAGGCCCCCAAGACGCTCACAGAGGCTTCCAAGAGACCCCCCCAGAGGGCCCCAAGAAGCCAAAACCGTTCATTTTACGAAGATTTCGGACACATGTTACCTTTCCCGCCTTTTCAGCTTTCCGACGCTCCACGACGGCTCACAGGCCCCCCGCGGACGCCCCAAGACAGCCCAAGAGGCCCCCAAGAAGGCCTCAAAACGGCTCTGGAGGGCCCCAAGACGGCCCAAGACGCGCCCAAGACGGGCGAAGAGAGGCCCCAGACGGCCCCAAGAGGGCTCCAAGAGGGGAACCGCGAACCAGAAATTCGAGCCTCCCGCCTCCACAGGGCCCCGGGAGGCCCCAAAGGGGCCCCAAGAGGCCCCAGGAGACCCCCCATGAGAGGCACCGAACAGTCGAGCTCTCCGCTCCAAGATGCTCCCCGGAAGCCCTTAGAGTCCCCGAAGACAGCCCCCCAGAAGGCTACCAAGAGGCCCCCAAGAGGCCCAGAAGAGGCTTCCAGAGGCTCCAAAACGGCTTCGGAGAGGCTTCACAACTGCCTACCCAGGTCCCCCAAACATGCTCCGGAAACGCGCTGCCGGAGCACGTTGCCGGCCCTCCTTCCAACATATGCATGTATGAACGTTGGTATGCGTTTTTCTTCTATCTCGATGACCTTCGGACGGAGGCCCAAGGCCACCCCAGAGCACTCCGAGACGGCTCCAGGACAGGCTGCCGAGTTTCATGTCCTTTTTGTTTTTGCAGAGATTCGAGGTACTGGGACTCCCACGACGCCGGGCGGAGGTGTCCACACCAGGGAGGGAGGCGTCCAGACCAGAGAGAGGGAGGGAGAGGAGCAGGAAGGGCGGAGGATTTGGAGGAGGAGGAGGAGGGGAAGGAAAAGAAGAAGGAAGAGGAGGAGGAGAAGAACGTGTAGGAGGAGCTGAAGCTGATGCGGAAGGTGGGAGAGGTGGTCGAGGAGAAGGAAAGGAGCAAAGGAAACGGAGGAGAGAGGCAGGCGAAGAGGAAGCGGGGAGGAACGACGAAGGAGGAGGAAGCAGAGAAAAAAGACAAGGAGGAGGAGGAGAAGGACATACAGAAAGAGAGGAGGAACAACATATAATGTTTATCCTCATACTCGTGTCAGAGCCTCGCCGTGACTTCGATCAGAACCAGAGCGTGTGCGAAGCGCGCGCGAAGGTTCTCTCTCTCTCTATATATATACAGATGTGTGTATGTATGTATGTATGTATGTATGTATGTATGTATGTATGTATGTGTATATATAATAGATACACCTATGAATTGCTATACACTCCCTATACTTGTACATGGTACACATATATACACATCTACTTGTGTGGACATAGGCACCTTCATACACGTGCGAACACGTCCAGTCTACACACGTGCGGACACACATATACATATATATGTATGTATATATATAGGTATATATACACATTATATACATATATGCATACATGCATGCATACACATGTGTATATATATATATATATATATAAACATACATACATACAACGGCGCACCGGGTCCGGGGGCCCAGGGCCGCGACCACGACCGCAAATGTGTGTGCCCAGGCTCTTCGGGCGTCCCTGGGGCCCCCAAAACGCCCCGAGAACGCGCCAAGAGAACCCGAAGACGCCCCCAGACGGACCCACGACACCCAAAGGCCGCTCCAAGATGCCCAATATGGCCCCCAAGACACCTCCAGAGGCCTCGCAGACGCTCTAAGAAGCCCCCGAGACGCCCCCCAGGACGTCCCCAAGAGGCAACAATAGCCCCATTCCCTTCGTAAAACTTACATTTTTAGTATATTGATTGTTCTCGCTGCCGTACCGTTCTTGACGACATCAGAGGTCCCCAAGACCGCCTCAAGACGGCCCAAGAGGCGCCCCCGAGGGCCCCAAGACGGCCCGAAAGGTCTTCAGGACGGCCCAAGAGGCGCCCAAGACGGCCCAAATGGGGCCCCAAAGGCGCCCAAGAGAAGCCCAAGATTGGGAAATCCAACCGACAATTCGAGCTCTCCGCCAAAAGAGGCGCCCGGGAGGCCCCAAGAGGCCCCGAAGAAGCCCCAAGAGGCCTCCAAGAGCCCACCCAGACGCCGCAAGAAGGCCCCACAACGACCCCCGAGGGAGCCCAGAGAGCCAAAAACTGCTTATGTTCCGTAGATGTTCGAAGGATTTTGGGCATTCGCCCTTCTCGCCTCGTCGGCTTTCCCAACCTCCATGCCGGCTCAAGGAGTCACCAAGACCGCCCCGAAACAGCCCGAGAAGCCCCCAAGTGAACCCCAATACATCTAACGGCGCACCAGGCCCGGGTGCCCATGGCCGGAACCTCGACCGCAAATGTGGGCACCGGGGCCCGGACCCGCCTTTGGGAGGCCTAAAATCCCGTCGGGGAACTTTCCGACAGCTATCCTGGCAGCCCCAGACGGTCTCGAGACACCCCCAACTCGCAGTCCAGGTGTCTCTGGCGAGGCACGATGCGTTCTAAATTGCCCCGGAGGCCCCAAGACGCTCCAAGAAGCCTTTAGGATACCGCCCAAGAGCGTCCCGAGAGGGCAACATCGTGCTCCCGGCGCTAAAGCACCGCCCAAGAGGCTCCCCTAAACCGCTCCAGGTCGGCCCAAGGAGGCCCCCAAGAGGGCCCCAAGACAGCCCAAGAGAGCCCCGAGACGGCCCCAGAACCGCCCAAGACGGCGCAAGAGGGTCCCAAGAAGCCCCCAAGAGGGGCCAAGAGAGGGAACGCGAACTGAAAAATCAAGCTCTCCGCCCCAAGATGCCCCCAAGAGGCCCCAAGAGGTCCCCAGGAAACCCCTAAGAGGCCCCCCCGAGGCCCCCAAGAGGACGCACGATGCGTTTCAAACTGCCCCAGAGGCCCCCAAGACGCCCCAAGAGTTCAAGATGCCGCCCAAGAACACCCCGAGAGGGCAAAATGGCTGATTTTGTTTTTGTTTGTTTGAAGCTGTTTCTTTGCATTCTCGCTGTTTCGTGCTTCCGGCGCTAAAGCACGGCCCAAGAGGCTCCCAAAACCGCTCCAAGACGGCCCAAGAGGCCCCCAAGAGGGCCCCAAGACAGCCCAAGAGAGCCCCGAGACGGCCCCAGAACCGCCCAAGACGGCGCAAGAGGGTCCCAAGAAGCCCCCAAGAGGGGCCAAGAGAGGGAACGCGAACTGAAAAATCAAGCTCTCCGCCCCAAGATGCCCCCAAGAGGCCCCAAGAGGTCCCCAGGAAACCCCTAAGAGGCCCCAAGACGCCCCAAAGAGGCCTCAAGAGGCTCCCAAGAGGCCCAAAAGAGGCTCCAAGAGGCCCCAAGACGGCACCCAAAAGGCTGCAAAACTCTTTCTACGAGGCCCCCGAAAACATGCAAGACGGTCCCATGACGACTTCAAGAAGCAGTCCCGGATGCTCCGAGGAGACCCCAAGAAGCTAGCTAGAACTTGAGCGCGCGCGAAGCGCGCGCGATGGTTCTAATATATATATATATATATATATATATGTGTATATATACATACATACACATGTATATACATATATATATATATATATAGATATGTATATATATATATATATATGTGTTTGTGTGTGTGTGTGTGTGTGTGTTTGTGTGTGTGCGTGTGTGTGTGTGTATCGGAGTAGGCCAGGGGGGGAGGGGGCCGGTTGCTGCCTCTGGTCGCCATGGGGGCTCCCCCGGGCCATTTTTTGTCACCCCTCAAAAGGGGCGTGGCCCCCCCGCCGAAAATTCCAGCCCTCAGTCTCCAGAAGCCTCCGAAGGGGCCACAAGAGGCCCAAGTGGTCCCCTGAGGGCCCCCAGAGAGCCCCAAGAGGGCCCCTGTGGGCCCCAAGAGGGCCTTCAAGAGGCACAAATCGGCAAATTTCCTTCGTAAAACATACATTTTCGGCATACTCGCTGGCTTCGTCTTCAGTGCCCCAGACGCCCCCGCGGAGCCCCAAGACAGCCCAAGAGAGACCCAAGAGGGCCCCAGACGGCCCAAAAGGATCGGCCTGTGGGGCTCACCGACCACCCCGAGACGGCCCCAGAGGCCCCAAAGCCGGCCCAGGAGGCCCCCAAGACGGCCTCAGGGAGGCCCAAGAGGGACTCGATCGAAATCATGTTCCCGGAAGCCTCTCCGCGAACATGGCTTCCGGGTTCCGAGGACGCCCAGGAGGCCCACAAGACAGCCTCAGCGAGGCCCCAGAGGGCCCGAGATGGCTTGAAGATGGCCGAAGAGGGCCCCAAGAGGGCCTTCAAGAGGCAACAATCGGCCCATTTCCCTTGTAACACGTACATTTTCAGCATACTTGCTGGCTTCGTTTTCGCAGTGCCCCAGACGCACCCGAGGAGCCCCAAGACAGCCCAAGAGAGTCCCAAGAGGGCCCCAGACGGCCCAAAAGGTCGGCCTGTGGGGATCACCGAACCCCCCGAGACGGCCCCAGAGGCCCCGAAGCCGGCCCAGGAGGCCCCCAAGACAGCCTCAGGGAGGCCCAAGAGGGCCCCGTTCGAAATCATGTTCCCGGACCGGGAACATGACTTCCGGGTTCCGAGGACGCCCTAGAGGGCCCAAGGACAGCCTCAGCGAGGCCCAAGAGGGGCTGCGCCAGGTTAGGCCCCCCCCAAGGTCAGGTTCGGGAATGGGTCGTAGCAACACGACGACGACGACGACGACGACGACGACCACGACGACGACGACGACGACGACGACGACGACGACGGCACGCCCCAACAGGCTCCCCAAGACGCCCCAAACCCATGCTCCCAGAAGGCCTTCTGGGAACCCGATTCATACGGCCTCCGCCCCCCTACACAACCATTTTCCTCGAAGGCTTTTCGGAATGCAGGTTGGTATGCGTGGATCGTGGTCCGCTACTTCAGTGGAGCAGTGAATTCGTCAAGGCCTGGGGCCTGCTAGAACCTGAGCGCGCGCGAAGCGCGCGCGATGGTTCTACTATATATATATATATATATCGGCGATGTATCGCCGATTCAAGGTCAATGTTCCCCCCCCCATGCCTGTCCCCCCCTATCATTGCCCCTCGGGAGGGGGGGGCGATATCGAAGACCATCCTCGATCATCTGGCGAAAGAGACCGATCATCCTGAGGACGCGTGTTAGTCCAATGTGGGCGTGTACCCCGAAAGACTCCGTCGATAGCACGCAGCCCCTGATGGCCCTGATGATAACTACGCCGCCTGCGTCGCATTGGAGGGCTTCGGTGGACAAGCACATGCTGGCACTTCTTAGCAACACCCCTGCTTCTTAGAAGGCGCGGGCCCTGTCTGTAGATGTAGGGCCAGCGCCTTCTAAGGAGCAACACCCTTCCCAGAAACCCTCCCTCCTCCCTCCACCTCCTTGTTCGCGCCGCGCCAGGACCATCGGGGAACCATCTTGGATGACCTTGCGACCAAAAAGCGCGACACCGAAGCGTGCACGGGGAATGGGCGTCCGAGCGATTGGCAAGGGAGGGTCGGCGGGCGGCTCGAGGGCGGCTTCGGGGCTTCAGGGGCGAACGCGGGGGGGGCTCGAGGGCGGGGAGGGCGTTTGGTACGGTCAGACCGAGGTGTAAGATCGAGGTCGGTTCGGGGAGGGTGCCCTGATGTTCTTCGTATTTGTTGGATTTTCTTTTGCATCCTGCGGAGGGTACCCGTGGATGCTCTGTGTGTGTGTTTTGGCGGGCGGAAGGTCCCATGTTCTTGAAGGATGTGCTTCTGTCCTAGGTCCGACTGTAGCAAGTCATGGGAGCCTTGTATCGTATGCCCTCGCAATTCCGTCTTCAGAGCGCACTTTAGCGAGCGTCTCCTAATCGATGAGGTTGCCCCGATGTAGCGTGTATTAGCGTCGATTTAGCGTCGACTAGCGTTAGCTGGCGTCGACTCGCGAGGGAAGGTGGTCTGGGAGGCTCCCATGAGTTGCCGCCAGTGGCGGGCTCGGGGAAGATTCTACCGTCGTTGCCCGGGCCGACTCCCCCCTCTCGGGTAACGACAACGATCGTATACGTGGGGAGGGGGCCCGGATCCCCAGATGCATTCGGGCTACGTTTTTTTAAATTGGATTGCGGATCAACCAGATCAGCCTGATCAATTGGATCAGCCATATCGCCAAGAGGCTGACAAGAGCTATAGTCAGACCAGTAGACCCCGTCCATATCCCTATCTCGACCCCCACCATTCCACCATCCTAGTTAGTCGAGAATATATCCCTCGAAACCCGACGGGGACAGCCTAGATTCTCCTCCAGGGCTAGGGAGAAAACCGGCCAGTGGGAGAAGAAGGGCCACGCCAGTTGGGAAGAAGGGTCAGACAAAAGGGGCGGCGGGGCCGCAGCCGCGCCGCCAACGAACGCACCTCCCTGACCTCTCCTAACCTGCCATGTTTCCCAGTGACCTTTCGGCCGACCCGCCCGAGTGGGGGTCGGCCGAAAGGTCGACACTCTCAGTGACCCGGCCGACCCGTTTGCAGTGGACGGCTTATATGCACGCCCGCGCCTTGAGCTTAGCAGGAGGCGGAACCGATACATTACAGAATCTGTTGAAATCTCCCAGATCACAGTGGGAGGCAGCTGTTCGACGTCATTGCCAAGCATTATGATTGTGAGTTTATATTTCGGGTTTCCCTCTCCTCTCCTTCCCCCTCCCCCCCTCCTTCTTCCCCTCCCCCCTTCCTCCTGCACGCCGCCGTGCTGGTGTATGTCCTTCCGCCGCACACCACTGTAATACGCAGTGGCTGCGTTCCGGCGCCTGTGCATTCAGCGCGGAATTGTCTTCGCATGATTTTTCCATGGCTTGTGTAAGTTGTCATGATTTGCCGATGCGCCGTCTAGGCGCGGCCTTTTCCTGTCCTGTCGTGCTCGAGTGGGGGGACCAGGGGACGTGTTGAAGGAATGGAGGCCTCCCAAGGGTCCAAAGTCGGTCCGAACAGATGAGGTCGGAAGATCGAGGATGGTCAGTCCGACCAGTAAAGATTGGCGCTCGCGAGGCGCGCGGAGATGATAGAAACACCCACCGTCGGGATGGCGCGGGCACGGGGGCGGGCGCGGGGAGGGTGAGAGGGCTGCCGCCTCTCTGCCGCCGCGCCCTATGCTCTCTCGCCAACCGGTTGTCGCCGCTGGCATCTCAAGAGGAACATCTCGTCCTGCATAAGTATGGCCCCGCCCTCTCGGAAGGTCCGCCAGGAATGATCCCAGGCCCTGGCCCCGCCCCTGAGGCCCCCAGCCAGGCCCAGGGACAGGGGCAATTGGGCCCGATGGCCCTGGACACCGAGAGAGAGAGAGAGAGCTGCAGCTTTTTCGGGTCCCTCTGGGAGGAGGCCGTCGCGTTGGGCCAGGCAGCTCGCCTCTCCGTCCTCTCAGACAGGCTGTGGCGGGGCGAGCCGCCGCAGCGGGCCTCGCGTCGTCCCCCCCCCCTCCTTCCCCCCCTCATCCCCCACCCCCTCCCAGTGGGCCTCCTCCAGACTGCTGCCGCTCGCCTCTCCTCTCTGTGGCTGGCCTACCCCGCTCCCGCGGTGCGCCTACTCCCGACCGGCTGCCGCTCAGGTGTCCCCCGCGCCGCTAAGCAGCTCGAAGCACAGGGACAAACACCTCAGCGCGTTAGGCCTCCGCCAGTCGTCTTCTTCTTCTTCTTAGTAGCAGGGGGAGAGGAGGCACGAGGGGGGGGGAGGGGGCGAAAGGCGGAGGAAGAGGAGGAAGAGGAGGACGAGGAGGAGGAGGACGAGGAGGACGAGGAGGACGAGGAGGACGAGGAGGACGAGGAATACGAGGATGACGAGCAGGACGAGGAGGACGAGGAGGACGAGGAGGAGGAGGAGAAGCGGGAGGAGTAGGAGGAGCAGGAGGAGGAGGAGGGGGAGGAGGAGGAGGAGGAGGAGGAGGAGGAGGAGGAGGAGGAGGAGGAGGAGGAGGAGGAGGAGGAGGAGGCAGATGGGGAGGAGGAGGAGGAGGAGGAGGAGGAGGAGCAGGGGGAGGGGGAGGAGGAGGAGGAGGAGCAGGGGGAGGGGGAGGAGGAGGAGGAGGAGGAGGAGGAGGAGGAGGAGAAGGAGGAGGAGGAGGAGGAAAAAGAGGAGGTACGAGGCCTCAGGCTGAGGTAGAATCGCCGCTTCGCCCCCAACAGATTATGCTGAACCGTTTCTCTTAGATCGTTTCGCCCAGGTTGCTTCTACCAGACCAGGCCCCAGCGAAGCGGTTCGCCAGCAAAGCAGTCCCTGGCGAAGCGGATCCCCCTTGTGATGCGACCCTGGGCGCGGCGGCGCGGTTCCCGTCGAAGTGGTTCTTCGGGAAACGGTCTGCTGGCAGGCAGCCCTTAGGCAGGGCGAAGCGGTTTGCTGCTCCCAGGCAGGCCTTAGGCAGGGCATGAGGCCTTTACGAGGCCTCCCTATGGGGAGCACGACCGTGCGCAACCTCGTCGGTCCTGTCAGGAACCACTTCTGACCGATTACAGCCAGTTGCGAGTGGTCCGATGTGGTTGAGGGATTCAACCGCGTTACAACCAGTGGTTCAAGCCTTGGCCCAAGAGTTTTGAAAGTTTTCATTGCTATGTCCGCCTACTGTACTTGCAAAGTAGTTGTATGCCACGTCCTGTGTGAAGGAGACCCCGGAGATCTTTCGCTTCATCGTGCAACTCTCTGTATTCGAGTGGAACGCCACCAATAAAGTGTTTTGAAGGTGATTGCATTGTTTGTGGAGTCGGACACCATGCCGCATAGGCATGCTCAAAGGATCCCCCTGGCAACATGGAGTGAGGACATTTCGCAGGTTTGTGCAAAGATCGACGAATTAGTCTTGGTCATTGTGGGCTCCGCGCTCGCGGCCATCGCCGCTGCTGCCCCTGCGCCTGCCGCGCGGGCGATTCCCCCCTTCGGCCCCCTCGGTCGGCGCGGGCTGCTCCAGCGCTGCCGGCGCGGCCCCGCGCGGGGCCGCGCGCGCCGCCGAGGCGGCGCCGAGGA